AAGCACAATCTTGCAGAATAATAGCCTGATTATTATTGCCTTGTTTGCATAACAAAGAGGCCCAATAAAACTGATTTGACTGGGCTCAGAGGGGGTGTGAAAGAGCAGCCCTGAGAAAAGAGCTGCAGGAATGCAGCAAACTGCTCCAAAGCCTCAACCCAGGAAGAGAGACAATGCAATTTGCCATCAAGAAAAGCCCAATAGACCAATAAATTACCCATGTGCAAAGGGATTAGATCAGGTTTCAGTTGCACTGAAGTGGGGGAAGGAGGACCGGAGGAGGGAACTGAAGGGGAAAAACAAACCTGACTCTCTTAAAGCGCTGGAGCTCCTATTTTGCAAGGAGGGGCTCGCTGTGACGGGCTCCCCTCCATCCCCTGGGCTGGATTTTGCACTCTCTTCGCTGGCAAACGCAGCAGATGCACTAAGCCCAGGTGAAGGGCAGGCCGGCTGGGTCACTCTAGATGCGGGCGGTGGGTATCTGAGCGCTTGCTCGGGTCCCTGCAGCCTCCCTTTTAACCCAGCCCAATCCCTCTCCGGAGGCGGCTGCAGAAAGGCTTTCTCCAGTTTCCTTATGTCAAAAGAGGGACACAGAGGGAGCTTTCCCTTTTCAACCTGTGCTGATCACTGAAGCACCTGGAGGGCCTGCCAGGGACAAGTCCCCTTTGTCCTCCTTGCCAAGCAGTGGGATGCGGCAGAGGAGCCGAGTCACTTTAGGCAGCTCTCAGGGCTCTGCAATCAGCTTTCAATGGCCCGAGCATGTTCCGCAGGGGCCACTGCATCTCCCCGGCCTARGGAAGCGGTGCTGGGATTGCTGCTCCGGGCTCACTAGGGCTGGGCTGAGCCCCAGCACCGCTGGAGGTGTTGCTCGGAGACCCGCAGTTGACACTTGGGGAGTTTGGAAAGCCAGCGAGATCCCCAGTGCATCTGCACCCAAAGCAGCAACAGGAATCACTGACTGCCCCCAAMCCTGCTCTCAAAACCACCGACCCCGGCGCTGCACGAGGGTGCTGCGGTGAGCGCCCGGCACAGCCTCCAGCAGCCCGGCCTGCCGGCGCAGCCATCCCGCCTTCCGCAGCGCAGCCTTTTCCCAGCCCGCCTCTGCGGAGCGTTTGAAGGCTCAACCCGCCACCCACCACAGCCCGGGGCCTCTCCAGGTGCGGCAGCGGGTCCCTCTCCCTCCTCCTCCTCGCTGGCTGAGGCAGGCAGCAAGAGGGAAAAGTGCTTTCTGCTTACAGGTGTGTATTCCCTCTAGGAATAATCATCCCAACCGTGCGCTTGTGAAATTGCAGCCCTTCAAATGCCGAGCTAAATGAGACACAAAATGAGGAGATGGAGAAACGCCCGGAGCACATAAATCTGGATGAGGCAAATTTATACAATTAAGCGCCTGCCAAAAAAATTGCGGCATCTCGATCGGAGGCGTTGACTGGAGCGCGGGGCGGGGGGTGCCCGCGCGGGCGCTCGCTCGGCCTGGCACCCTCCTGGGGACGCGGCCACCAAGGCCAGCGATGGGCAGCGGCCCCTGGGCTGGGCGCACGTGCCCGGCACAGAGCCCTGCTCTGCACGGGCCCCCGCTGCCACCCACCCCGCGCCCGGTGCTCCCGTGATGATATTTGTCCCTCTGTCAAAGCCACAGACTTTCACATGTTTATTYCTAAATGCGTCTCATGGCTTGGGCCCTGGGCTCAAGTTTTCGTTCTAGGAGAATTTTRGTTTCAGGCTCCAGAGCCCACCCAGCCTCATCGGTCCCTGCGAACTCGGTGCTCTGTGGTCCCTGCGGGCGGCAGAGCGCGGGGGCCGTGTGTGCCCTGGGGACACCCCGCCACATGTCCCTGTCACCTCRGAAAGGGCTGGCTGGAGTGCGTCACACGGCCCGAAAATGGAAGCGGGCGAGAAAACCAAAACACCCTTGAGCATCATKAGGGACTTTGGGGACCGAACTCAACAGCTGGGCGGAAAAGACAGGAAACCGAGGCAGGAGGAAACATCTGGGACTCCAGGGAAGCTTGGGGCTCTCTCTGACCCCAGGAACTCCCCATATGTGCTGGGAGACCTTTCCTTGCCTGGAACTAAATGCCAAAGCTCCCTCCACACCTCTGCAGTAGAAAGACAGGRCTCTACAAGCCTGTTGACCATCCATGCGCCCTTGGAAGGCTGTGCTGCTCCACAGGGGCTGCCCATGCGTGGCACCGAGAGCCCTGTGACTTCATCCCGGGCTGGTATCTGCTCTGGCCATCGAGTCTAATTCAATTCTGCCCCTCGCTGCAGCAATCGCAACTGGGGGGGCCGTGGCTTAGCGAGCCAGGCTGCCCTCGAGTGCAAAGTGATCTGCGGGCTGCAATCAAACGCCTGCGCGGCCTGGGAGCTCGAGGAGGGCAAAATAAATAGCCCAGAGATGGGAGCTCTTCTTGCACTGCCACACACAGGTTGCAAAGGTTTCCGGAGGCCTGCTGGAGGGCTGCCCTTCGGAGCGCCCTCCTGGGACCCTGCCCGTTAAGGGGCCGACGCCGCAGAGCTCCTCAGCGCGGCCGGAGCTGCGGGGGCAGCAGGCAGGGTGAAGCCCCGCGCAGCCCCCGCGCTGGGACGGTGCCGGGGCCGCCCCACGGGCGCTCAGACCCACGCGGGCGGCCGGGAGCAGCCGCGCAGGCTGTGCCTGCAAACCCGGGCCCTGCTATTGCAGAGCCCACTGCTGGGAACCAAGGGCCTGGAACCTGGAGAAGGGAATTTTGTGGGGGTGGAAAAAGCAACACGTGCCCCAGTCTGCACTGCAAGGCGCCTCTTCCAAGAGCCAGGCTTTGCACGAGCAGCAAACCTGGGCAGCCAAAGTATTTCCAGGTTGAATCCTGCCTCCTTCCCTGTCTGAGTAACACCTGGCACTGCAGCGAGGCCCCCTCCTGCCACCTTGTCCTGTGTCCCCCCACATCTGCAAACGCTGCTGGTTCGAGTGGCTGGAAGAGGTTTCAAGAGCCTCCAAGCGCCTCTTCCCAACATCAGCTCTACACTGAGCTCACAGACCTCCCTGCCACCRAGACAGGGGCCATTCCACAGTCAATCCCTTACACCTCCAGGAGGGCCAGATCCTTCCCTGGAATGAACCCCTGGACRGAGCAGGGGTGGAAAATACTCTTGGAGACAGATGTGTAGCAGGGCTGACACAGCACAGGGAAAGCCGGAGCACAGCAGCATCCATGGGGAGGGAGCAAGCCCGTAATCCTCGGGAAGGTACCAAGGGTTCTCTGCTGCTGGTTGGGTACAGAGGGATCCGCAGGACAAGGGGGACAGCCAGCACCCTGGCACTGCAGGGTCCCACCACGAACAGCGGGTGCAGCCACCAGCCTGACAAGATCCTACAGGGACRGTCCCAGCGCCCTGCCCTGCTCAGGGCTCCTTCCCGCGCCACGAGCACGACGGGGGCACCGCTGGCCGGGCCTCGAAGGGGTCGATGTCACGGAAAGCGGCACGAGAGGGAGCCAGCCCCAGGGCACGTGCATGGAGGGGACGAAGCAAACGAAGCCGCTGGGGCGCAGGTCCAYGGCCCAGCCGCCCCCACGGGAGCCGGGGCTCCGCTAGCACCCGCTCCCTCCCGCTKCCTCCGGATCACCTCGTTTTGCCAGTTCTTTGCACCTTATTTGACTGCCGAGGGCAGAGCCAGACAAAAGCAGCCAACCAGGTCCCGTATCAAGTTCTTTCTTGCACCGTAAATCTCCAAGTCTCAACGCTTCAACGCAAACGCTMCATACGGGGAGTGAAGCAACACGTACTGGGTCGGAACAAGGAAAGGAAAACCCACGGGCACAAGTGGGGTCCTCTGCACGCAGCTGAGCAAWCCCCGCCGCCCCCCAGCGCAGGCAGCACCAAAAGGGCCAAGGGGGAGGGAGGGGGCACMGCGTAATTTATTTATTTATCTGTTGGCTGCATGTGTGTGCAAGACGGCTTCACCTACGTCTATGCAAAAGAAATGCAGAGGCGATTAAAAAAAAATAAAGGGCAAGTTTTACAAAAGTGAAAGAGGTAAATCGTGAAACTGCAGTGTTAGTGCTTTTCTTTTGCCCTCCTGCTTTTTCTCCCTTTTTTTTTCCCCTTCCAAAAGAGAAGAAAAAAAAAAAAAAAAAAAAAAAAAAAAAAAAGGAGGTAAAGAAACTGGAGAGTTTTGGAAGGAACAAATCCGCCTCTGTGGACTCGGTTTCCCCTCCCCCAACAAAAACAAGCACTCAGGGCTTGAAGGAATTTGCAGGCAGAGATCTGCCAAAAACATTGTGAAAAACTATGGGGGATTCATTGGAAACAGATGGCGTTTTCAGCTGTAATTCTGAAATTCTCTCCTTTTCTGACACAATACAAACAAACGGGCCACAGGACGGCGGGGAGGGGGGCAGGGCCGGGGGGGCATCAGCGGGGCAGGCGCGGGCCGGGGGCAGGCGCGGGGCCGGGGGCTGCGGTGCTCGCGGCACCATTTGGTGGCCGTCCAGCCGTTTGCTTGGGGACCCTGACAGCGGAGCGGCTCCCGGCCCCGCGCCGAGCGCCGCGGCTGCACCACGGGCCGCGAAAAAGAAGGGAAAAAGGGGGGGAAAGAAACGGAAGGGAAAAGGAGAAAAAAAGAAAGAAGCGGGGGAGGGACACAGCGAAAGCCGTCGGAGCGCGGGCGTGCGGGGCCCCCCGGCGACACYGCGGTCCCCACGCGCGACACCGGCCGCGCGGCCCCCGGCGCCCCGCGGGCAGCGGCCAAGGGCGCCGCGCGGAACCTGCTCGCGCTGCTGACAGCGGCTCCGCGCGGCCGCCCTCGCTGCGCTCCGGCGCACAAAGGATACGCGGCCAGTGCAGCGAGGGGGGGGACACCGAAACGCAGCCCCCGCCTCGCTCGTGTCAAACATGTGGCGAGCAGAGAGAGCGAGAGGGAAAGGGGCCCACGGGCAGGGGGAGCAGATYCGCGGGCTGAGAGAGATACAGGGAACGGGGGAGGAAAAAAAAAATCTTCAAAACAAGAGGCTGTTCCTTACCTGAAGGGGAGATGCAGAGAAAGACAGGGAGGATTTGGAAAAGTCCCAGGGCTGTGGATCCTGCCCCTCTCCCCATACCCATCCATCCAGCTCGAGCTTTAACCACTATCCTCTCCCTGGAAGAAGAGTTTAAAAAAAAAAAAAAAAGAAAAAAAAAAAAAAGGAGAAGGGAAGAGAGGAAAAGAAAACAAAAGGAAAAAATAAATCAATTGAAAGGAAGAAGGAAAAAAAAAAACTCAGAAGCCGCGCGTGGCTGCGCGGAGCGCGGCGCTGCGCAGGGCAGGGACAGGCGGCCCCGGCTGCCGGGCTCGGTGGCCTCTGCACTGCCGGATTACACGGACTCTCCTCCTCCTCCTCGCCTTCCCCTCCCATTGCAAAACAGCCCCAACCATCAATCATCCCGGCCGCCTTCCAATGCCGACGTGCTCCGCGGGCGCCTCCTCCTYCTCCGCGGCTCCCGCCTCCGGGGCCGCCCTCGCCGCTCTCACCGCCCCGTCGGGGCTGGTGCTGCCCAGACCCCCGTGGGAAAGGGGGGACTCCTGTGGGAACGGGGGACCCCGATGGGAACGGGAGATCCCGATGGGAGCGGGGCCCGCGGCTCCCCCTGCCCCGGCTGTGCACGGCGCGGGTCCCTCCTCTCCGGTGGGAGCTCGCGGGTGGGATCTAAGGGGCTTGGTTCCCTGTCCGGGGCGAAAGGACCACGGCCTCTGCCCCAGCCAGGGGGACAGGGGCGGGGGGACCCCCCAGAGCTGGGGCTGGAGCTCCTGGCGCTGGGCCCGGGCTCTGCCCGCCACCTCCTGCGCCACCGGCTCCCTGCTCCCAGCTCYGCGCGAGCGTTTCCCAACCCGCGCCAAGTCATTCCCGCACACCTGCACTGGCAGCGCYGCAGTAAGCCCGGGTGACTCACAAACAGCAGCTCCAAGAGGCAGGAATCGCTATCCCGGCAGACACGCGTGACTGTCCGGACCCCTGAACACAGCTGCTTTCCTGCCGACGGGCTCMCGGGGGGGCCCAGCAGGTACCTGCGCGTCCTTGAGACACCCGCCGCTGCGCTCCCAGACTCTGCTCTTTGCAGCAAGGCCCCCCAAAAACGAGCCCAGCGGGCTGGCCCTGCGGTCACACCGTCCCAGGGAGCCGCTCCACTCGTGGAAAAGCTAAGCCAGAGGGAGAGCATCCCTGCAGTGCTACCCTAGCGCACTTAGGGCTCTATAAAATTCCCCGTGAAGGAGGATTTARTCACTGCGACCTAAGACAACTTCATTTCTGAGTGCCCATGGGTATAGTATGGTTTAATTAATGTGCTTTAACTTCCCTGTTTTAGATTATTAGCCCTCCTTTGATTTAGGGACCCCCTGCCATCCTAATGTTTCATCTCCTTCCTCTTGGGGATCTTATATAGAAACAATGAAACATAATATAATGAAAAAGTTTTTTTTTTTTTTTTTTTTTTTTTTAGTCCCAGCCCTTCCTCCAGCTCTGTAACTGCTCTTTAGCAAAGAGTCTTTCTTCCCTATGTCTTAGGAGATCTTCCTTGACTTGGCCTGCAGTTGTCCTTGGAAATTGTCTTTCTTCCCCTTACTAACACCCTTATGGATATTTTTTGAAGGGATGCTAGCTTAAAGTCTCCAAGAAGCTGCTGTGATCTCCTCCTTGCAATGGACTGACTCTGTGGTCCAGCTGCAACAGACTTCCCATGGAGGATGAGGTGARGAAGATGAGATGGGCATGAATATCTGAGAGGATCTCAGCTCTGGTACCACTGCTCTGGTTCTCCTTGCRGGGGTTGAGCCCCTTTGCCTCCACATGGCAGCACACCAGGGTTTTGTCCAGGCTACAGCAGGAATTAAAATGAAGCTTTTCCACGTGGGACCCATATGGGATGCAAAATACTTGGAGTCTTGTCTGGGTGCGCGGTGCTCTGTCTTGGTGCCGACCTCCATGCAGTTAGAGATGTCCAGTAAAGCCAGTTCTGCTGCAGAGCTGGGCGAGAGATGAAAGGTGCCAGGCGGGACTCAGACCTGCAGTGTGGGAGCAACGCCCACCCTGAGCTCCTCTGTGTGGGGGATGTCAAACAGGGRCAAGAACGCCCAACCCTGCCAGCTGTGCTAGCACCCACCAGGAGCTCCTTGCTCATGGGACCTGTAGGCAGAGCTGAAAGGAGCCTGGGGGGAACAAAGGGGACCCAGGAGCTGGGATGAGTCTTGKCAAGGGGGAGATTGAGGATAAGGGCTTGTCGACCCTCAAACCCTCCTCTTGTTCTCTCCTTTCTGCAATGCAAGTTTTGCTTTCACTTCAGACTCGAATATCTCCCTTCAGCCACTTCCCAGGCTGATGACATGCAGCCTGATCTGATTATTTTTTAACTCACACAATGACGAGATTACTAACTTTTAAGAGGTAGGTGCTAAATAGCTGTTGTAAGGCTAGTTTCATTGCTCAGCTTAAAGCCCCACTTGGGCATTGCTGTTTGGTGGCAAACTCCCCCATTGTGATGTGAGAATGGAATCCAGCTAAAGTTAAAAAATCTTTTTTTTTTAATTTTTTATTTTTTTTTTTAATTTTTTAAATTTTTATTTTCTTTTTCCCCTAAAAAAAAAAAAAAAAAAAAAAAAAAAAAAAGAAGAAGAAGAAGGGAAGCTTCTGCCCTTGGTTTAGGGAAATCTGTGCTGCCATAAGGCAACAATCCGATGACGCTGGCTCCAGTTCATAAAAATTTCTCCTCGATTTTGCTCTGTTGCATCATGCATTGCAAACGGGACTGCTGTTTTTGGCACTGATCAAAGCAGAGGACTTCACTGGAGAAAACAACAGATGTGTCCAAACTGTAACGGCAGAGCAGGAAAAGGCCCCAAATAAGGTGTGTTTCTGAAACCCTGCTCCCCAGTCTACATTTTACAAATCACCTTCCCTTTTCTGTTTAGCAAGTTTCAAATCACCCCAAACTTCAGGGTCTCTGCTTTGCCTACAGGAGATGTCCAGGCTGCAAAAAGTGGAACCAAGTGAAGTGGTGGCTGCTTTTTCCCTTGCTTTTTCTTCCATTTAGCAGTGCCTTTCAGCACGAAGGAACCCGATGCTTTTTGCAAAGAGCCTGTGCAAAAGACACCTCGGTGGGAACATGCAGGGGCCAAGGGGCAAAGGCACCACTGCCATCAGCTGCACATTGATCCTCCTCTTTGAAGTCCTCACGGAAGGGCCGTGTGCTCCTGTGTTTCCAAGTGACCAATAAGGAGAAATCAGTCTGTGTTCACCGATACGATTCTCCAAGATATTTGCGGGATGAGTTCCCGAAGGAAATTCAACAGGGAGCAGTTGTCTGAGCTTTACTTTTCTGAATATTTCCCAGCCCCGTGTGTCACATCGTGCATGGCTGTGGGCTTCAGCAAGGCCACTGAATATGTCTAATTTGAACCGTATGGGTTAGAGATGATACCTCCCCTTACAGWCTTCCTAATGGAATTTATTCAGTACCTATAATTATAGGGCTAAAATAGTAAATACAGGTATTTATGAGGACTGTAACTAGCAGTTAGAGGAACTCCTAGGTCTACTCCTGACTCTCCCATGAACTTTCTGCTTGGCATCTCTTCATGCCCCTACCTCCACACGTCTCAAGAAAGCAACTTTGCCTTCTCTGCCTCAGTGTCCCCACAGTAAAAAGGATGAGGCAGAGCTCATCTGCCATGCAGCAGGGCAGGGAATTTAGTTCAGACATGTTTGCAAAGCCCTGTATGATCTTCAAAAATGTTTATGAYGGCAAAACTGCCTTCCCACATAAGTCATGGCAAAGAGCTCCTTGGCTTTTCCGGATGGAGGATCAACCTTGAAGAGCAACTCTGGAGTGAATGTTTGCAGCAGTCAATGCACAGGGCTGCTTCAGCTCATAAAATGCCATTTAACATGGGACTTCTCTTGTTACTGATGGTACTTGAATATATAACCACCAATCCACAGACACCAAAAGATGCCTGTGAAACCCAGAGTTTAGATGTTGGTGCAAAACCAGTTGAAAGAGGCTGTGCCTACCACCTGTCCTGATTCACTTTGTGCCATAGAGTTTCCATCAGTGAATAATGTTGGTGTCTGTTTTTAATATTCTGGATACTAGAAGTCAGGAAAAAAGTACTCTGCTCACTGAGCCTAGTTCAAAGTTGGTTAGAAAATACCAAGCAACACACTGGGTCTCAGATCCGCAGATACCTGCTCCTTGTTGTTGACATTGCTCGTTCTGCTGTTTTGCTTAGCTGTTGTGTCCAGCTATAAAGCTGGAGAGAGATCAGCTTTCACACTGTATGTCCAAGCAAAGTCTAACAAAAGCAGGTCCTGTCAAAGGTGTCCTGCTAAAACAAAGAACTGGTTTTAGCAGTGGTCATCTGTATTTGATGTTCCTCAGGACGGAGAGTTTAGATGAACTGGCCCAGCCAGAATAAATAGTGATTGCCAGTGCTGGAGAATACTCCTGAAATGTGCTGCAATGATTTATATTAGTGTTTGGTTTAAACAGCAAAGAGCAGACCACTCCTTAAAGAAGGAAGAAAGGAAAACCACTTGCTGTTTGGAGTAGAAAACCGTAGATTATTCTCTGGGGAGGTCTGACAAGTGATTCCAAAATGCTCGCAGAAGAAACCCCCAATACCTGTGATCTGACAGATTCCCATATTAAAGCAAATACTTCTAAACAAGAAGAAAAAAAATCACTCATCTTTCTGCAGTAACAGCCACACACCACTGTCGGTGATAGTGGAAAACATTGTAGCTTAAGTATCTGTTAGGGTCCTCATTAGTGTCCTAGGTAAGGTTTGCAGTAACTTAATGGGGCTGGTGGAGGGGAGGACACGGAGCTGGCTTYGAGGGCAGAACCTCTGCTTTGTGGCAAAGTGCGGGGAGGCCAGTCCCCTGCTTCACGTAAGGAACTTGCCCACAGCTGCCTCTGTGAACATTAGACTCGCCAACCTGGCTATGTGAAGAGAGGCCATTGCGTTGAAGGGATAATAAAATACAGCTTTGTAACAGCAATAAAAAAAAAAAAAAAAAGCTTTCTTGGCCTGCAACTTTCCTTCCGTGGAGAGTGATTGATAAAAGCTTTCCCAAATGAAGCCGCTGTTGGCAGCTCTGCTTTGGGATCTCTTTATGGTGCCCGCTCCCAACGGTTGGCCACAAAGCTCACACCGAAATGCTCTAAACCGGCCGGGTTGAACAAGAAGCAAGGGAGATGGGATGTTGGAGACCTCCAGTCTCAGCAAAAAAAAAAAACAAGCAGAGAAATTTTCAGAGAAATAGAATTTATCACATCAGCTTTTGACTGTGGCACTCACTGCTTTCCGCTCATTTCGCTTGCTCGTGATGCCTGGTGGAGAGAACTCGGCTCCCACGCAAGGAGCTCGTAGCCGTCCTTGTCCTGCAGGTCAGAGCAATGGCTGGGACTCCTCTTCGAGGACCTGCTCTCTGCAAGGGGCTGGTCTTCTTGGTGCAATCTCCTCTTAGCAGTAAGTACCAAGCAACATCTCCTTAGTGTATCTTCTTGCCTGGGTTCCCTTCTAAAAACCACGTGGGCTGAGAGGTGCCCAAGAGCACGTTTGAGTGGCCATGGGCCAGCTCGGGAGAAAGGACAGATAAATCTGACCTGCCAGAAACTAAACAGTGCAGAAGAAGAACCACAGAGATGTGTATGTTTATCAGCAGAGACAGAAACCAGTTTGTGCAGCAAGGCAGGAGGGCAACCTCACTCTTTCTCTGCTGCTTTTCAAAACTGTTTGTGTCTTGAGAAAGTGCAAACATAGCTGCCTAATTCTCTCCCTCTCCAACCCAACAGGTCAGCTAAGGACATCTCTGGGCTCTGCTCATTTAAAGGTAAGAAGGCTCTGCTGAAAACTGCCGGGGGAGGATGGGGAGTAACAGCCAGGGGTTCCAAGTCTAGACCTTGAGCACAGGAAGGAAGAGGAGCTTGAAAGATCCTTAAGGCAAAAGCTCTCTGTATCCCTACCACCTTGTCCTCGTGTCAGTTCCTGACAGCAATATAATCCATCACAGCACACCTTTCCTGTCCTCCCAGTTACAAAATGCTAAGGACCCTGACAGCATCATCAGGAGACTTTAAACATTTTTCTGAATATCTCCTAGGACCAATACATTCCTTCTTATGAGGAAAAGGAATAGCAAAAAGTCTTGACTGAGCATCTCTGTGGGTCTTTCGGCAAGTGGCCTGGGCTGCGGTAGGTGTTTCTGCACTCCCGGCCGGACACATGTGCTTCCTGCCCGGATAAAGCGCAGCTCGGGGCGATCCTTCCCGCTGGGTGGTGCTGTTAACCCTAAACCATTTGCAAAAGTACCCAATTTATAAAATAAATGAAACCCAACGCCGCCTTAAACCACATGACATAACAGCAGCTCGCAAGCTCTCATTAAAATCTCAATTTGGGGAAATTGATTCTACCTCTGAGCAATTGCGATGCAATTACTCCAACAGGCAGCAATCAAGAATCACATCAAAACAACACCAAACTTTCATCTCCTGCCTCCCAACCACCACCACAACAAAAAGCACCTGTCTTGCGAACACAACCCGGGTTCCTTAAACGCAGGGGATGTTTGGGTCCCCGAGTGGCATCAAGCCTCGACAGGCGCTGGTGCCTCTGCAGTGTCCTGACTCGGAGCGACATTCTGCGGCTTTGCACTGCTTCCTCCACCAGCATTACTATTGTTATTGTTATTATTATTTCCCTTGCTGGGGTTAAGGAAGAAGAGAGCAAATCCGCATCCCTGCGCGCCCGGGTCCCTGACACCCCCGTCCCGCGTCCTCTAGGCCTCCTGGTTTTGGGGACACGCTGGCCGTGCCCGCAACACCCCGTGTCACAGCAAGAAGCCCCTGTGCGAGGGGAAGGGCGCACCACGGGGGGTTATTCACGTTTATTTATATCTATATTTCCCTCCTGCCCGGGGGAGGCCGCGGTAGCCCCGCTTACCTTAGCGGCCGCATCAGCGTGGCCGGCCCGCGCTGGGGGAGTGCGGGCGGCTGCTTGTCCGTCTGGGGGAGCGGGAGGGAAAAAGAGAAAAATAAATCAAAGGGAGCAGAAGCGGGTGCGTGGTGGCGGGCGGGCGGCCCCCCCGGCCCGGCGCAGGGCGCGGTGCAGCCTCGCTCAGCGGCGCGCGGGGAGCC